CATAAGGTCCCTTGGCCTCTGCCCTGCTTGGGTCAAGTTACACAGCTTTTTAAATTCTACCAATCACTATCCTAAGGGCACACTACTCTGTCATAAACTTCTGTCCAAAAATGTTCAGCTCTAACTCTGTAGTCAGCAAATCTATCTCTCCTGATTAAGTGCCTGGAGTATAAACTCACTCCACAAGTACGCCTCCTTCCCTAAGATAATCAGCTTTCTTATTCCACAGGCCAGAAAGTCCACTGCTGTGTCTTGTGCTCTTGGTCCTGCTGCCACCGTTCCTCTGCCACTCCTCTGGATCTCACTGTCCTGGGTCAAGAATGTGAGATCCCTGACCACAAGGAATCCAGGGGTTCGAAGGACATACTCCACTCCTGGTTCCTTCTTCTTAAAGTTGGGCGATCCTCATTCCTGCTTCTGAGATGGCTCCTTTTACGTACAGTAGGATGGCAATGCCCATGTTAGAGTTTCAAAGTTTTATAACCACAGTAACCCTGTTAACAATCACTCACAATAGAACCATATAATCTTATCAGCATCTTTCCTCACCTTCTCTTACCAAGACCCATCAGGAAAAGAGGGAATAAATCCAATTTGCACAGTCCCACCCAGGAGTTTGGTAGGAGTTACAAAAACTACATTTCAAGGTAAATTACTGCACCACAGATATTTGTGTCGGGCAAATCCTCCTTACAGTGGACCCTCCTGATACTATACAGAGCTAAGTGTAGAATATATAAAGACTATGCCAAGAACCATCATGTCTTGCATTTTTCATGGATTTAGCCAACTCATTGACTTTGAACTGCTCCATTAATAATTAGCATGCTGAGTGGCCATATTTCTGTCCATTTGGTGCTATAGTATGGCATGTTCTTTCTACCAGTGCCTCCACTGTCAACACCCCAACAGTAGGGGCAAAAACAAAAACGATAGGGCTGTTCAATTAGGCACAGCCCAATCCCTTAGTGTTCCTCTTCATAGTGAGAAATACCTTAGATTGACAGGAAGACATCAAAATGCACAAGTATAGCTTTAACAAGTTCATTATTGACCCCATTAAATAGAAATAACAGGTATCAGATATTTTGCTAATCAGGTATTTTGGAGATATAGTCTCAACTGTGAAATAAATGACAGTACAAGCATAAATAAAGAGCACTGGTAGTATAGCGGATTACACCTTGTGCTGCATACTGATAGGACAGCAGTTCAAACTCACCAGTCACTCCATGGGGAAAAGAGGAAGTTGTTCTGTACCCGTAAGATTTACAGTCTCAGAAACCCAAAGGAGCAGTTCTACTCTGACCTATAGGATCAATGCTGTCAGAAGCAACTCAATGATGAGGGTGGTAGAAGCATAAGAAGTTTCATTTCACACAAAGATTTACGACAGCCATCTTTAAATTGTGTTATACATTATGTTGTTGTTATTGGGTGCCACTGAATCAGTTTTGAATCACTGTCTGGACCGGCACCAACCTCACAATCATTGTTACACTTGAGCCTAGATTGCAGTCACTGTGCCAATTCATCTCATTGAGGGTCTTCTTTTTCAATCACCCTCCACTTTACCAAGCATGCCATCCTTGTCCAGGAGCTGGTCCTTCCTGATAACATGTCCAAAGGATGTGAGACAAAGGAAGAAGTCTCCAAGCTACACTGAAGACACTGGTGAAAAACAAGGCTTTAGGAACTGTCGGAATACCATGAGATACTTTCAACAAACAGATGCAACACTAGAAGAAATTTCTCTGCCAAGAAACTTTGAGGACAGCTACCTGACTAACCAACTGGGAAAGATCTATATTTGTGTCTATTTCTAAGACAGACAACCCAAATGATCAAATGATAATTATTAAAATCCTACACAAGTTGAATTATGCTGTAGACAATTTAAAAATTTATACATTATAAAAGACAGCACAAACAATAACCAAAACGTGCCTGTACAAGTCACTGAGAGTGAGTCATTATCTGTAATAAGAATATTCATTGATATAGTCACACTGATTCAGGCCCTTGATGAAGGAGTAAGGGTGGATACCAGAAATATTAAGTTTGAGAAGAGAAAATCATACTGAACGTGTAACTTGGGATCCACTGTTTTTGCTGTTGTTGTTAGGTGCCATCAAGTCAGTGCTAACTCATAGTAAATTTATGCACAACAGAACAAAACACTGACCAGTCCTGTGCCAACCTTATAATCATCGCTACGCTTAAACCCATTGCCACCACCACTGTGCTAATCCATCTCGTTGGGGGTTCTCCTCTTTCTCGTTGACTAAGCATGATGTCTTTCTCCAGGGACCGTTGTTAGTTTTCATCAATTCAGGCTCTAACTTATGCTGACCCCATGCACAATGGAATGAAACACTGCCCAGTCCTGTGCCATTCTCACCATGAACTGCAGATAGGACCACTGGGATACATAGGGTTTTCACAGGCTGATTTTCTGAAGCAGATCACCAGGTCTATTTTTCCCTAGTCCCTTTTAGTCTGGAAGCTCCACTGAAACCTGCCCACCATCATACAACCCACAAGCCCCCCAGTGACAAATGAGTCGTGGTTGTGAATGAGACTCACTGGCCAGAAATTGAACACAGCTATTTCCCATGGAAGATGAGATTTCTACCAATAAATCACCACTCTCCCCTGGACCTACCTATACCTTTGAATTTTTTCAGAGAACCAAGACTATGGATAGTATGAGTCTCAGTTGCTGCAGCAATAGGAGAAAACAAAGTAAACGCCCTTCCAAAATGTCAGTAGTATGCTCTTTTTATAAGTTATATTGAATTAATACTCTGGACATTAGTCATAAATGTTCACTTTCTATACAATCCATCCATAAGCTTATACTTGGATCAACAGCCTGAAGGACAGTGAGCATCTCTCTCTATATCAGTATCAGGGCATTTGCTGCTGTGACTGATAGTTGAGAACAGGTGACCCCTTTTTGCAGCCTGTAAGTCAAATTGTAGGATTTGACAAAGGACAACACAGTATAGGAAAAGGAAAAATGAACTTCTAATTTTCAAGTATTACAAAAGTTTGGTGTTTTTTTTAAAAAAAAAAAAAAAAGGTTAAAAAATCTAAGAACAAAGCTATCTCCATTCTGTAATGAATTTAGTATTTATTAAATTGGAAACAATTTAATAAATAGCCTGGATCAGCATAGAGAAGAAGAATATCAGAAACATGACATTTACTACAGCCAAGTAACTTGCTGATATATCTTTTTATCCAAAACCTAAGACTGCACATCTTTTTCAAATGTTTTTTTTTTTTGTTTTCTAAAAGTAAGTCTGGCTGAAATTTATCAGATGTCATTCAGCAGGGTGTGGAGCTATGGGCAATCTATGTGCAATCACAGTTCATGAGTCTGCTTGTCTTTGGAGAAACTTAACAGTTAAATATAAATTCATGTTTGCTACAAGTATAAACATTTGCTCCAAAAGCAACTCTGAATGTGTATACACACCCACTTTTTCACAACCCATCTCAGCACTAAATAAAATCAATGACATATCTGTGCTGGATTACAATAATTTTTAAATAAAAGGTCTTCAGATCTTTTCTTTTGTGTATGAGAATTTCTGCATGTGAACAGCTGATTTCTCAAGCAACAACTCTGACCATTGAAAAACACATCATCCTTAAACAAAAGATACTTTTTGTTCCCATGAAGCTTTCATCTCTTGCCATTTCCAGTAACAACACAAAAGGCGAATTCTGCCATCCTCAATAGTGGCTTCAGACAAATAGAAACAACAAACAAAACAAAAGAGGAAAAAGTTAAGAAATACAAAAACAAGGTGAGTTGGGCGCAAGGGAAGGGAGGTGAAATGGAAGTGAAAAATGGAGTCTAAGCTGTACTTTATGATCTAAGAAATTCAGACTTCACTATGAATTGGGGAAAGGGAGTAAGTAAGAATGGGGAAGGGGAATTGCAAGACAGAGGTATGTTTGGTTGTCTGCATTTTATGTCAAAACCACCCACTGGGGAATGTAAAGGGGGAGGGGGAATGATGTCGTGACTAAGACTGATTCAGTGAGAGTTACACAAGTTTGTACCTGATACAATAGAAATACCCAACCAAAATGAGGAATTAGACAAATACTTATATGATAAATTTTTAAATTAAAAAAGAAAAAGTATGTTCTTGTATATATGTTTTTAAAGTTTATGACTATTCATAGGAAACGGTTATGAATTCATTATCACCACTTTGGAGACTACCCTCCTTTAATCAAAGGGGTAATGGCCTGGAATCCCGGAAACCTACTAACTACTGCACCTATTTCCCAGGTGTGTGGACTTCAGTGTCACTGAGGGAGACCAATGCAGACAAGAAGCCCAAGAGTCTCTGGCGAAAAGCTCTGGAAGAAGACTGCCTTACATCCATCGACGGATAAGGCGAAAGGACTGGAAGTGAGTGCGATTCCTCCTTCCGCCGGGCCTGGAGTCGGGAACGTCCCTGGCCGTCAGGTGGGGGGCCGCACGCCTCCACTGGGAAGCCCTGCCTGGCAGCGCGGTGTACAGCACCCGCTGAGAGGGACGAGCCCCCCTGGGTGCCGCGCGTCCCAGGCAGACCGTCGCGCACCTTTGTTCGCTTCCCCGGGCCGCTAGCGAGGAGAGAGCCAGACCCAGAAGCAGATCAGGGGTGGCCTCTCATCTGCGGGCCTTCATTGGCGGACCGAAAATAGGTGGGCTAGCCATACCCTCTGCGGGCCCCAGAAAGCAAGCCAGGGTCAGGAACCCTTTACGGAACACAAAGGTTGGGAGGTGTGAGCGCGAGTGAAGGTGCTACTTAGCTGGGTGTGCGCTGGTGGCGCGGGGTGCGTGCGCCACACAGCGCGCAAGTGTGCGTGTACGCGCGAGTGTGTGTGCGTTTTTGTGTGCGCGTGGATGTACTGTGTGTGTGTGTGTGTGTGTGTGTGTGTGTGTGTGTGTGTGTGTGTAGGGGGAGGGGAAGAGGCGCTCCAATTCTTCCTACCTCTCGAAAAGGAGCCGCACCATGAAGATGCAGAAGGCCACGGGGAAGGCGAGGTAGAGGTCCTCAGCCTGTGGGAAGGTGGCTTCCTCCGTGTTCTTTAGGTCTGCCCAGGTGACATTGTGCGGTAGCCAAAACCTCTCGTTCCAGAACCAGGCTAAGATCCCTGCCATCTTGCTTTGTCCACTCCTGTCCTGCTGTTCTTGCGGACCGCCGAGATCTCCGCTCCGCTGGGTGACCGGGATGCGCGCCTGGTTGGCCCCAAGAATGTGCCGTTGCCGCTGCTCCCGCCAGCCGCCGATGCTGCCGCCTTCTCCGCGACCGCTGCTCTCGAAGGCTTGATGCGAGCCCCGGTTCTCTCCTCCCTCTGGCCGCGCTGAAAAAAGGGGCTGTCTCGCCCGTCACATGGCAGCCCGGGCCGCTAGCCCTGATTGGCTCTACTTCGCGTCAAGTAGCTAGGCACACGCGGCCAGCTCGCCCACGCCCGGAGGGTAGGGCGCAGCCGCTGCGTCCTGGGCGCAGGGGCTCCACTCCCGGGTGTTCTGCCAGCTCTAGCGATCACTGCACTCTAGGTTTTCCACTCAGAGCTGCGACCTGGGCCCAGCCCCCCAAATCTTCCCTAGTCCTCTCGCTTGCTCGCACATGCTCAGAAAGCCACCTCCTGCCCCACCGGAGTTTCCAGGCTCTCAGTCTGCTTCTCCTGCGCTCAGAGGCTGTGGGAAGGCAGGTAGTGGCCAGGTCAGAGCGACTGGAACGCCTCTGCACTGAGACGCAGCAAAAGAAGTAGGTGGCGCAAAGAGAGAAGTGGTAGGGAATGGACCATCCACACTAGGGTATGGAGAGGTTGAGTGAAATTAAGGAACTGACTAGGATGGTTTGGCAAGAGCTGTGGGGTCTGCCCTTAGATCGTCTGTCTTCCCCCGCCTCCCATCTCTTATCTTCCAGCCTTGTTAAACAACTGCTCATCACCACAGCCGGTTTCCCCAGGAAACAAGGCTTGTTTTATGAGGTACTACATGAAATAAGGCTCGTAATTTCAGTTTGATAGTGATCAGGATGAGGTTGATGATGATAGTAACTGCAGCCTTCTGTAAAACTGGCGTTTTAAACTAGTTTCAGAAAAATGTCTCCAGACCACACTTTGGTTATGAAGAATGTCCACTCTGCTAGTTTTGTTGTTGTTGTTTAGTACCATCGAGTCGGTTCCGACCCATAGCGACCCTGTATAGGGTTTCCGAGAAGCCGCCTGTGAGCTTGAACCGCCGACCTTGAAGTTCAAATGGCTTTGCAGTCTGGTGCATTAACCCACAACGCCACACCAGGACTCCCAGCTACTTTATTGTTGTTGTTGTTGTTATGTGCCTTGGAGTCGCTTCCGACTTATAGTGACCCTGTACAGGGTTTCCGAGGAAATAAATCTTTACGGGAGCAGAAAAAGTCTCATCTTTCTCCCGCGGAACAGCTGGTAGTTTCAAACCGCTGACCGTGAGATTAGCAGCCTGATTAGTAGTCACTACACTACCAGAGCTCCTTCTGTTACTTAATAGACGCATTATATTTGCCTTTTGAATCTGAAACCTTTAAGACATTAGATCTCTGCGACCTGACACAGACACCTTCACCCCCACAACTGATGCAGGAAACAAGTGTGAATAGATCAGAGCCCGTGACTTCAAGAGATATTTTGGTCATTCTTCACACAATCATGCATTTTCTGCCTGGTCCTCTCTAGTAGCATATAAACAGGACATTCACACACACACACACACACACACACACACACACACATCTTTACTTTTCCTCCCCCTCCAGCAGCCTCCCTCACTTCCCCTTTAATGCAAAATTCTAAAGAATTGTCTATATTTTGTGCTTCCCACCTTATTTTCTTTTGAACTTCCACTTGGGCATTTGCCACCTCCAGTGCTAAATTCATGTTGCTAAATTCAAAGGTCAGTCTCAACACCTCTATCAGTAGCTTTGAGCCATGTTACTCAGTCCCTGCCATTTGAAACACTTCTTGTCTTGGCTTCTAGAAACCAGTCTTCTGGCTTCCCTCCTACCTCATGGCCACTCCAGCCAATCACCAACTCTTTATTCCTCACTTTCCTAACTCCTAAACGTTGGAGTCAGTCTTTGGGCACTTTCACCTTTCTATCTGCACTCTTCATTCACTCAGTGATTTCATCCAGTCAGATTGCTTTCAATGCCACCTATTTGGTGTCACTGTCATACCAAGAACTCCCAAATTCTTATCTAGAGCCATGAGGCTTTCCTCGACCTTTAGAATTCAAAATTCTCTGTGAAATCAGAAACCCCATCTAAAACTCAATGCAGGTCCAAACTATTAATCTTTCCCTACAGAATTTAAGTCTCCTATAATCTAGACTCAAACAAAAAACAAGTCATTTTTTTCCTTCTCTCTTTCCCTTACACCTCTTTGCTAATCCTGTCAGCTCCATCTTTAAACCAGAAGCTATCCATCACTCACCATCTCTATTGCTACCCCCTTGGTTCAGATAACCAGGATTTCTCACCTGAATTGCTCCAATAATCTCCTACAATCATCTATGTTCAAGCCAGAGTGATCCTATCAAAATATAAGTCCAATCATTCTTGTGCTCAAAGCCTTCCTTCTTCCCAAGTGGAAACCAAAGTCACTGCAATGTTCTATAAGACCCTACATTATTTGGCCTCATCTCTGATCTCAGCTGTTTTCTCCTTTTTTCTCTCACTCTCATTCACTCAGCTTCAGTCACACCAGACTCCTACTCCTAAGAACACACCATGCTTGTCTTAGGGCCTTTGCACTTACTTGTCTTTATCCCTGGAGTTGTGTTTCCTCCACAGATTCATTCATGTCTGCATTTTCTTCCATTCCTCTTTCTCAGTGAAGGCTTCCGTGGGCAACATTTTTACACCTACAACTCTCGGCACCCTTCTTTTCCAGCTCTCCCTATTCCTGTCCTGCTTTGCTTTCCTGTAAAACATTTTTGTGGCTCAGTGCAGTTAATGCGCTGGACTGCAAGGTTAATTTGAAGTGCAAGGTCAGCAGTTCAAATTCACCAGCCGCTCTTTGGAAACCCTATATAGGGTCACTATGAGTCAGAACTGACTCAATAGCCACTCCTCGAAAACCCTATACAGAGTGGCTATGACTCAGAATGAACACAACAGCACTTAACAACAACTCAAGGTAATGACTGGCACATAGAATATACTCAATAAAATATTGAATTGATGAATCAACATTATCCCAACCTCAAAACTTCTCTTTAGGAGAAGAAAGATGCTGAAAGAATAATTGCCCCAAATGTTTATATATCCATGTTAGTCCCTGATACCAAGAATACTGTGGGCGTAAAGGAGAGATTATCAATTCTGGACTAAGTGAGGAGAAAGATCAGGGTTAGGAAAGTCTTCACAGGGAGATTTTGTTGAAGTGACACTTCAGACAACTACTTAGTATTACTGATGACCCTCCAGGAATCTCCTTTGGCACTACTGCAGTCCTGGAGGCCACAGGGGAGAGGTTTGTGGCAGATGTCATGTCATGATGAAGCCTGGCCACCTGGGCCATCCACACCCCTGCCAGGGCTGTTCCTAGGCCCTCATGTCACTTTCATGTATGACTCGTTGTACCTGGCTGCCTACACCAGGATTTCTCTACTTTCCATGGGTCCTGTTGTGTTCCCTCAGGCTTATACAATAGGAAGTGTTGGTGAGTCAATGCCCTAGAGTCTGAACTTAGACCATAAGCAATGGAAAGCAGTGGATAAATCCTTCTTTCTTTCCTTTTCAGGCACATACAGTAGATTCATACAACCTCTCTCAAAATAACCTGTGATTCTACATACATTTGAGTTCGCATTGTAAGAATTCTTTACCTCTCAGATGCCAAAAAAGAAAGCATCTGGGAGTTTAGTTGAGTTTCTACTATGGGGTGAATACACACAATGATAGTGCTTGTTCTTAAAAAAAAAAGAACACAAAATCTATTTGGGGAGCAGAATGTACTCACATGCAAAGTCTGATAGCAATACATGTGAACATCACTTGAGATGACACTGAACCATGTAAGATAAGGGTCTGAATATTGCAGATAATTTCAAGGAAGAGGCTGAAATGGTATCAGATTATGAAGAAAGAGTTTTAAAAGACGTGAGAAAAAGTAAAATGTGAGTGAGATTTGCTGAGGGGCAATAAACAAAATGCTACTGAGAAGACAGATTATAGTAAAAAGCAAAGGAATACTCTTACTTATTTCAGGAGAATGGTGGGTTATCTATGATCATGTTGTTGTTGTCATGTGCCAGGGAGTCTGTTCCGACTCATAGTGACCCTGTCTGTAAATCTTTACAGGAGCATAAAGCCTCATCTTTCTCCCGCAGAACAGCTGGTGGTTTCAAACTGCTGACCCTGAAGTTCACAGCACAATTTGTAACCACTACGCTACCAGAGCTCCTTGTAATAGCACTTAAGTAATTCCTTAGTATGAAGTCTGAGACAATATACCCTATTTTTGAAACCTACAAATAAAATTCCTTATTGTTTGAAAGACAGGACAGTGCTAAAATTAATCTTAGATTTAAACATACCCAGTACATTGAGTTTGAAGAAACCTGGTTTTCATAGGGAATAATACTGAAAACTTGCTAAATTTTATTTAAGCGGTTGCTCCCCATAAATACACAACTTTGTTGCTATGGTTGGGAAAACAATATTAAATCTACACTACCAAAACAGAAGTTTCTCAAGTTTTCATTTATATAATGTTGTTGTTGTGTGCCGTGGAGTCGGTTCCGACTCATAGTGACCCTGCACAGGGTTTCCAAGGCTGTAAATCTTTACAGGAGCAGACCACCTCATCTTTCTCCCACGGAGCGGCTGGTAGTTTTGAACTGCTGACCTTGCAGCTCGCAGCCCGATTCGTAACCACTACGCTACCAGAGCTCCTTATATAATACCCACTACCAAATCTGCAGCACAAGACCTTTTTTAAGTTTTGAAGAGCAAAGATGTCAGTTTGAGGACTAAGATGCCGTCTTTGCTGTCACTGCTTTCCCAGGCAGGAATCCCATGCTCCACTCATGCTCTTCCTTAATGATGATCCTGGTATCCTCTGTTCCTGAGATGAAAGACAACTACTCCCTCCTTTTAGTTACATATCTTCTATTATTACAGTTTTGACTATCACAATTAATCCTACTAACAATTACAATGAAATCATAGAGTCCTATCAGCATCATCCCTTACTCCCCTTTCACCAGACCCATCTGGAAAATAGGAAATAGGATTCTCCGTTGATTCATCATTCTAAACCTAAGCACACCCATAAAAGCTTATAAGTCAGCCACTTCCTGCTTTTACAG